CCATCAGCGTGTATGTGTCTGGGTGACATTTTAAATCGACTCCCCGCCCGCGGTGTCGCCTGCTGCCGCCTCGGTTGTCAATGTCAGAAGGGGGAGAGGAGGAGGAGGAGGAGGGGGGGGGATCTCTCTTCCTTGAGTGGTTTGGTTCTGGCAGTCCCTGTAATGTTTGAGCTGTCACAACAGGGAAGGTTCCTAAGGAAGCCGCTTCCTGAAGGAGAGCTGGCTGGGTGCCTGCTTCTTTCAGGCTCAGGGATGAGCCGGGGTAGAAAGGGGAGGTAACCAAATCCCTCCTGGGCTCGGCTCCAGCTTTAGCCATGGTGGCCTGCCCTTGGACAAACCCAAATGGGAGCGTGCTCTGAGCTGCTTCATCCCTGGAGGGGACAGACTTTCCTCTGGGGAGAGCTCGGTGCCTCCAGGGTGTGAGGGATGCAGCAATACCTGCAGGGAGAGGGTAAAGATCCTTGTCCCGAGGACAATTTGGGCCGAGGGGAGGTAGAGCTGCTTCCTGGCTGCTGGTGGGAGAGAGGAGCCCTCGGTGGTGAGGCACTGGCAGAACTGGGAGTGAAACCTTTTGTTTCTCCTCAAATGAGAGCTCGCAAAAAAACACAATGATGGCAGTATTCCTGCTCTGTCCATCGATCCAGCATTGTAGGCAGGCAAGATAGCTGCAATAAAAAGCCCGTCCTTTAATTTTATGCATGGAGAACTTCTTACCTGCTTTCCACCCCCTCTTCCCTATTTCCACACCCCCCCCCCCTGCAGTTTCTTTTCCAACTGCAGCTATTTTTCCCTGCTGACTTCAGGTGTTTTGTATTCTGCTTAGATCAATAGCAGCAGAACAGCAGCAGCTTTCCAGTTGTCACTAGGAAGACCCTGCTGTCAGCTACAGCTCACCCGTTTTCTGCCAGTGCGGTACTGGGGATGAAGAGCCCTTCTGCTCGCCTGACAAACACAAAAGAAAGCTGTGCAGTACAGGAGTGCTGTATTGATTTTATTTCTTTTTTTTTTTTTTCTTTTTTTAAAATTCCAGCCTGGGGAAAACGGTGTTCTTCCCATGCTCCAGAAGCTGGCTTTGCCTGCCCGCACTGGGTTTTAAGAGGGAATAAACTGGGCTGTGGAAAATGCCCACACGGGAGGGGAGACGCGTCCTGCCGAGGCTGTCGGCGGCGTCCTGGCTGTGTGGCTTTGCCAAGGGAGCTGGTCCCTGGTGATAATGCTGCTTAGCAGCCTCCCAGACACGAGCAGGAAGAGCAAATCCATTGCCTAATCCAACAAAACGCGCCAGGACCACATTAGCTGATGTGAACATTGGCCCCTATTCATGGATTTTATTTTTTTTTTTTTCCTTTTTAACAATCTCTGATATTTATGGTAGCCTGGAGCAAATCAATGCAAGTATTTTTTTCTTCATCGAACAAAAAGTGTTCACTGCAACACTTCAATACAACCTTTGTGTGCATCTTCCTTCCGAAGTGCCAAAATAGGAAGCGGCTGTTAGAAACCGAAGGGCCGGGCATGGCTTTGCTCTCAAGGCTCTCCGAATTTCCTCGGCTTTCTCTTTTTTGGAACTGGGCTATTTTGTGAAATCCCTCACCATTGGATCCCCGGGAGTGGGGTCTCGGGCTCTTGATTAACTCTAGGTCATGCTGAGAACGATGGGAGCAGCTTCCATCCAGCTGCCTCGAAAGCAACCCCCCTTCTCGGAGGGGCTGTCCTAAAACAGGCTCTAGGCTAGGAAATAAGCTGGGATGGTAGATGATCTCTTGAGGGCTGGGAAATGTAGTCTGCAGCGCGTTACTAAGCTAGAAAAGTACTGGTATGATGAGTTAGGGCATATCAGGGGGGGCGGGTAGGCCACCTCTAAACTAGACTGTTAGCCAAATGCTTCCTACTGCCGTAGCGGCAACCCCAAACTTGGTGTCCCCTCCGAGGAGCCTCTGCTTTGGGTAGAGGTTCTCCATCTCCCAGGCTTTCAAAGCTGGAAGCTTCCCTCCTCTAAAATTCAGCAAGCATGTTAAGTGCCGTTCTGTCCCCTGAGCGGGGAGAGCGTTGATAAATGTGGAAGGCTGGTTTTTTAGCTTAATTATTGAGCAAAGCCGGGTAATGGAAAGCAGATCGCATAAAGGAGAGATAAGAGTCTTTGATGAAGGAGAGAAATTTGAGTAAAAAGGAGGGCTGTTAACATGGGAGCTGGAAGTGATGTGATGTTGGGAATGTGGCTCCGGCAATTAAAGAGGGTTTGCTAATAACAAAAGCCAGCACCTGCTTGTCCTGTGTTGCCTGCGCTCGGCGTGCTGGAGCTACGAGGGAGGAGGAGGAACCCAACCACGTGCTGGAACATTGCCTGCGCTCGGCGTGCTGGAGGAACCCAACCACGTGCTGGAAGGGGCCAGGACTGTTTAATTAGCAAAAGCCCTTGGCATCGTGCTGTGTGACACCACAAACTGTGCTGGAGAGCTCTGCTAACCACGGGAAATGCAGCTCCAGGTCTCTGAGAGGAGGAAACGAGCGGCTTCCAAGGAAAAGAGAGGGGCACCTGGATGGTTGGCTGGGCAGAACATCCCCGTCCTGGGGACAAGCCACGTCCTCCCTCTTCTTCCCTCTAGCTCAGCCACTCTGTATTTTGCCGAGCGCGTTGCGGTGGGTGGAAATCTGGAATAAACATCTTTCTTCTTCAGCTTTCTCGTGTAGTTTGAATTAAACTTCCTAATAAAGCAATTGTTATTTTTCTAAGCCGATTCTCTATTTGTAAAGGGGAGGGTTTTTTCTACCTGGCAGCTCCTGGGGATGACTCTTCCAGGGATGAAGACGGGATGGGGATGACGTGGAGAAATTTGCTGCCGAGGTTGGCGTGGCTGAGCCGCACACGGTAAGTGCGAGGAGGGGGGGGTGTGAGGAGAAGATATCTGCCTGGAGGGGCTTTGCCAGAGCAGTTTCACAGTTTTCCTGCCCGGGAACCAACCATCCCGGCCCCCGGGGCCCTTCCTGCCCGGGAACCATCCACCCTGGCCCCCGGGGCCATTCCTGTCCGGGAACCCTGCCTGCCCGGGAACCATCCACCCCGGGGCCCTGCCTGCCCGGGAACCATCCACCCCGGGGCCCTTCCTGCCCGGGAACCGTCCAGCCCAGCCCCCGGGGCCCTTCCAGCCTGGCCTCCAGGGTCCTTCCACCCCGTCCCCCGCGGGGGGGCCCGGCGGAGGTGGCGCAGGCCCCGGGGCCAGGCCGCAGGGAACCCACCAGCTCTCACTTCCTGGTTACCGGCCGTGCCCGGAAGCGAAGCGCGGTTTCCAGGAAGTGACGTCAGCGCGGCGGGCAAGGTGCGTCTGGCGCCCGGGAGGAAGGAGGAGGGAAGGGGGGGGCGGGCCCCGGTGATGGCGGAAGCGGAGGCCAAGATGAAGCAGTTCAATGGCGGCGGGGCCGGGCTGGACGCCGAGCGCGGCCGCTTCCCGTACTGCGTGGTGTGGACCCCCATCCCCGTCCTGACGTGAGTGCGGGCCCCGCGTTCCTCCCCCCCCAGGCTCCGGCTCAGCGAGACCCGGGCCTAGGCCTAGGCCTCGCTACTGGGGGTAGGCCCTGGGCCGGGGCACCCCCTTCCTTTCCTGGGGTGCTGTGGGGCTGGTGAGGAGCCCGGTCCGCTGTGGGGCTGGCGGACCGGGGTAACCGGCTGCCTGGGCTGCTCCGGGGAAGGTGGGGTCGCCTCGGGGTGACCGGGTGCCAGGCCGCTTCGGGGGCCATGGAGGACTCTGTCCTTGGGGTAGGGCTCTCCTCTCCCCGCAGCGAGGGCGTGTGGGGGGGGAAAAGCTTTGGGGTGAGCGGGCTTGTCTGTGCAGGAGCGGGAGTGGAGAAGTCTTTCATGTTCTCGCAGCCAAGGTTTGGCTACGGGGCTCGTGGGCCACCTTATGCCTTGAGGAGAGGCCCCCGCGCTTCGCTGCTAATGAGTTAAAACTCGATTTGCCTTCCCGGTCTCGTCAGCCAAGCGGCAGCCAGCGGGCTCCAGGGAGAACTTCTGAGATTTTTCTCTGGTCGTGGGAAAATGAAAAGCTGTAAAATGCGGCTTTAGGGGGTAGTCTGGGAACACAAAGGCTTATTTTCATGCCTCCCTCTTCCCCTCCGGTTCAAATCAGGTGATAATGTTTACCGAGCTAGAGCTGAAAGTCAGGTAGAAGACGTGGGCTGGTCCGGGATCGGGAATGGCAGCACAACTCTCCTCAGCCAGGAGAAGCTGCAACTTCCCTGTTGCTGTCTCCCGTGCAGCTACAAACCACCTTTGGGTTTCGCCTCTTTTCTTTCTTTTTTTTGCTTAGAATTTCCACCTTAGTCTTTATTTCTGGAGGATTTTCCAAAGCTTTTAACCTTCTTATGTCCTGCTGGGACTGCTGAAGAGAGCTGTGCTGCTGCCAAAGTCACTGGGCATCTGTGTTTGTGGGTTCATTCCCTGATGAACAGTGGCGTCTTCCCGAGGATCTGGTTTTGCAGCAGAAATTTAAGTGGTGTTATTTGGCAAAATCTCCTCTTATGTTGCATAATAGCTCCCTTTTCTCCCTCTGACGTTTCCTGTCATCCTTGGGCTGGGAGGCTTGAAAGCTAGGCAGTGCTGAGAGGAGAATTAAAGAAAGGAAGCAAGTGCCTAGAGCTTTGAAGGTGGCAACGCTGTGACAGCGTTATATTCGGCTCTGCCTTCTGGCTGATAAAGCCTTGCACAGATAGTGAAGGTGTCTGGCTGCTTTGCATCCCACCAGATAGGGACGTGCAGAGGGTAAGTGATGCAGGAGCAGAACATCAAACTTTTGTAGAGCCCTTTCTCTCCATCGTAGGGTTGTGCTGTTTATAACCTCGACTGCACTTATCATTGTGTACAGCTTTGTCTTTCCTCCTAACATCCCACCGCCTCGATCCCTTTATGTTTTTGATGGTTTTGGGATCTCTAACTGAGCCACGGCTTGTGAATCTGTTTCTGTTGGGCGTTGCTGTAATCTGTTCTGAAATATTAGTTGCTGCTCTCAATCCCTTGGGGAGAGAGGGGCGAGAAAGGAGGGAGGTCAGCAAACCTGAGAATGCCGGAGGATGTAGGAAAGAGCTGTAACTTGGCCTGAAGTATTTACTTCTAAGTGATGGTGATGGAAAAGGAGGTTGGGAGATAAGTCTCCTGCTCCCTGGGGCTGTAAATATCCAGTGGGGAGGAGAGGGTTTTTGAAGCAATGGGATCATTTATTGGAGGGAATGCTTTTCCTGGAACCCCTTTTTCTGTCTGGGGTGCTTAGAATGATTGGGGTTGGAAGGGACCTTAAAGATCACAGAGTTCCAATCTGGTTTGCTTAAATTCAGATTGCCCTGGAAAGCTGTGGTGTGGATGGGAATGACCTTAAAGATCACGGAGTTCCAATCTGGTTTGTTTAAATTCAGTTTGCCCTGGAAAGCTGTGGTGTGGATGGGAAGATGGGCAGGATGACCTTATTTTCAGTCCTTGAGGTGGAAAGCCTGATTTCATCTCAAGGCAGTTTCTCCTGGATTTAACCTTTTTACTGGGCTACACAAATGGGTCTGTCCTGGGAGTCCAGGGCTCGCTGGACGCTGACCAGAGACCCTTGGGAGACTTGTGCTCTCTGTAACCACAGCTAAAATCCCAGATCCCAGCTGCTCCACAGACGAGCTGGGGCAGCTTTGGGCATTCCCTGCGTGGTTTTCTTCTCCTTGTACCCGGTCTGTGTCCCTACCTCTCTTTGCCTGGCTTTGGCTCACCTGCTTTTGACTCCGGGCTGTGTGTGACACGTTAACGGGGCCTGTCTGTCCCGTGCTGGGCAGTGGGTTGGGTGGCCCCTCCAGCAGTGTCCTGGCAGCACGTTGGATGGGTTGGGAGCCAGGGGGCAAATATCTCAGCCTGATGGTTCACTTGTTGCCTCTGTAGATGGCTCTTCCCCATCATTGGCCACATGGGGATCTGCACCTCGACTGGAGTCATCCGGGACTTCGCCGGGCCCTACTTTGTCTCAGTAAGTAGACGATGGATCCAGAACCCAGATCCAGAATCTGTGCTTCATCTGCTTCTCACCTTCATCGGTGACTTTGGAGCCAACTGTCTTTTGCAGCTCAAAGTTCTGCAAAATAACGGCTTAGATGTTTCTGAAGATCGTGGATCTTCACTGTCACTCTGTGGGCTGTTGTCCAGTGGAGGTCATTTGGGGGATGTGATAAATAGTGGCTAGTTTGGTGAGCAGAAGGGGGAAAAAAAATATGGTCTAGGCTCTTAATTGGGAATTTTGGACCTAAGTTCTCTTAATTCTGAGTAACAGAAGCTGCCTCCAACTTCCCCAGCGTGCCTGGTGCTACCGTGCTGCGTAGCATCAGGTACGAGCCAGTCTTCTGAACTGCTTTATAATCTGGTGGATTTTTTGAAGTCAGGGAATTTAAATTTGGGCTAATTACTACTCTTCATAGATTGGGACATTTACAACTTTGAATTAACAAGGTATAAACTGTGTGTGTGTAGGGAAAACCCACCCCAAAACAGGGAACGAGGTCCATATCCCATATATCTAGATGATGTCACCATGTATAGAGCGTATTTATACTCGTGCCCGGAACAGGAGTAGGAAAATGATTGAAATCTAAATCCAGACACACAAATAAGATGTGAGGGTTTTATCACTAAGTGATGGCGGGTGGTGAGGCCTTCCAGCAAGAGGCATGGCATGAATATTGCACGGGGTTATCCTTTTGAGACATTTCTCCTTTTTTGTAGGAAGACAACATGGCATTTGGGAAGCCGGTGAAGTAAGTGCTCTTGTTAGTTTTTATTAAACTAACCAACTGACCTGCAGATGTCCTTTAATTCACGGAGACAGACGTGCTGTAATATTGCTTTTTCTTGTTGATCAGAAGCCCTAATTCAAGTGGATGGCTACCGTGTCTCTGCTTTTCAAGAAACCACATTAAATTAAATCTTTTTAGAAGCGTGACAGCAATGTAATGGTATTAATAACTAGAGCTGTGTCGAGCCTTTATTAAAAAAAAAAAAAAAGGAAGAAAACAAAAGGCTAAAACATTTTAAGATGATGTTAACAACAAGTGCTCCAAGTAAATACTGCCTGTGCTGTGCTAATGAAGTGTCATCACTCACATCCTGTTAATGATTTTCTGGGGGGAGGAGGAGAGGTGCCTGGGCTTTGTGTGTCTGTCAGATGAGCTTTATGTTTTGAATGGCCTGAAGGTTTCACATCACAGGACGTGAAAGGGGTTCAGAGTTTTGTCTGGGGCCCTGAGCTCTTGCAGTTTCTCTCTGGGGTGCTGTGGGGCTGAGGGTGCTGAGCAGGAGTTTCTGCTGCCCTCTGCACCACGTGCTTCTCGTGAAGAGCTCGGCTCCGTGGTTCTGCTTTGTGTGTCTGTCAGATGAGCTTTATGTTTTGAATGGCCTGAAGGTTTCACATCACAGGACGTGAAAGGGGTTCAGAGTTTTGTCTGGGGCCCTGAGCTCTTGCAGTTTCTCTCTGGGGTGCTGTGGGGCTGAGGGTGCTGAGCAGGAGTTTCTGCTGCCCTCTGCACCACGTGCTTCTCGTGAAGAGCTCGGCTCCGTGGTTCACCAGAGGTTGTGGATTTCTCCGAGTCCTTGAAGCAGCCTCCAGCTGGGAAGAGCAAGAAGTTGATGAAGGGGCAGCAGTAATGCCAAAGGATCTGTTTTCATCCTTCTAGGTACTGGAAACTGGATCCCAGCAAAGTCTACTCCACCAGTCCCAACGCCTGGGACACGGCCGTACACGATGCCTCGGAGGAGTACAAGCACCGCATGGTACGGCTCTGCCGCTCATGTCCCCTCTGCGTGTGGGGGAATGTCCCCCCCTGGGGTGGTGGGGTCCTTTCTGGGTCTTTACCAGCACTGAGGAGCCTCAAGGACAAGATTTCTAACCCCCGTGCCCCTTTTTTCTCTTCCAGCACAACCTTTGCTGTGATAACTGCCATTCTCACGTGGCTCTGGCCTTAAACTTGATGAGATACGATAACAGCACCTCCTGGAACATGGTGAAACTCTGCTTCTTCTCACTCCTGTATGGGAAATATGTAAGGTGAGCTGAAGGGCAGTTTAGATTCAGCAAACAAAGGGGCTCTCTTCTGTTCTTTCTCTCCCTTCAAAGCTCCAGACTGTCCCGTGGAGAAGGGAGAAACATCTCTCCCCAAAAACATGCAGGTGTGTGTTGCTGGTAGGTGGTACTGTCACTGCATGATGCCTCTTAGGAAAGGAACCAAGGGTGCTTTCCGGGTTGACTGGGTGCTGCTCCCAAAATACTGTATCTGGCAGTTAATTTAGGGTGCCTGGAATTTGGGAAATGCTAACTAAAGCAAATCTCACTCTGTGTTGTCTTTTGGCTGGGTTAGGTCAGAACATAAGGTCACGGAATGGCTTGTCTCCAAGGATTACTGATTTCTCTTCCCTCCCTTGAATCTTGTTTACATAAAACCTAGTCAGATTTCCAACTGGTGTGGAGCTTCCAATTGGAGTGGAGAGGGAAAACCTGGGTTTTCCTTACTAGAAAGGGCACTTAATCTCCATTTCAGCTTCTTGTGCCTGATGAGGAGATTCTGCAATGACTGCCTTGCACAAAGCTCTTGGGTTGCTTCACTTCTGTTGGGTCTTCCCTGTTCTGGAAGAGCTTCTCTACCAGCTTTTAGGCAAGTGTCGTCCCTTCTGTCTCAGTTAAACACACCAGTGCTCTGAATAACGAGGCCTGCAGTAACAGGGGTTCATTTTTTGTGGTCTCCTGCATGTGCAGATGTAAATGTGCTAGTCTTTGACCTTAATTTAAGCTGGAAGGAGTGTCCAGCCCTATTGTTGATGATATACTTATTGGTGGAGCTGATTTAGTCTCAATTTTTAACTCAATCTCCAGGATGGGATGTGTGGCAGTGCCAGCAATGGGTAAGAAAGTCGGAAGGGCGTCTGTCTCCCTTTGATTTCTCCAGCTATTCTCACATCCTTCTCTCCCTCTTGTCTTTCTCTGCTGATTTCTCAGATTTAAACCCTCCCCCTTTTTTTTCTGTCTTGCAGCATAGGGGGATTTGTGAAGACCTGGCTTCCCTTTGTCCTCTTCTTGGGGGTGATCGTGACCATTGTCCTGACGCTTCATCTGCGGTGATGGCAGCTGTGAACTCCCCGTTCCGTGGGCACACGGAGGAAGAAACTGTGACTGATCCAGCGAGACGGAGGCATGGGACTCTGGGAGGCATTTTTCTGGGAAAGGTGGCAACTCCACTTCATTGTTTCATCTTTGTTTCCTGGAACTGGCTTCTTTTCCTTCTGTTTTTGTTCTGTCGATGGTGTCTCCCAGTGGCAGGGCTCCTGAAGCCTCCTGCTCTCTCTCCCTGAACGTGCTCCCTCTCTGCAATTTGGTGGGTAGAAACGCAATCAGGAGAGGAGAGATGTGGGCACCTTTGCTTTCATTGGGAAGCAAAACCACGAGGCAAACCCTGCCTCCTGGTTCAGGAGCACGAGCAGGTTCATAAGGTTCTCTCTGATCATCTGGTTTCTTCCTCCTGGCAGACTTCATCAGATGCTTCCTCAGATTTCCTGAGTCTCCACGAAGGAGTTGTTGGTTTCCCCGTTGCACGACTCTCCTGTAGCACAGGTTTCAAAAGTGGAGGTGCTGGGGACCTGGGGTGCCACAGCACTCGCTGATGGTGTGTCCCCTCCCCAAACCCTGGGGGAGTGCCAGGAAGGTGGATGCTCCTCTGAGGAGACACGCAGAGGAACGCTCTGTGGCAGGGCAAACTCATCTGGTCCTGCTGGTGAGCCCAGAAAGGCAGGAAAGTCGATGGACTGGCTTGGGTAGGGCTCATGGCAGTCTGCACACTTTTCGATAGCCTGTTCCAGAGTTGGGAGTCTACTGCTAAGTCCCTTTTAGCTCGTGCCAGGATTAAAAAAAAAAAAATCCAGCTTCCCTGCTTCTGCCTGTGCTCTGTGAATATGTAATATTGTTGTCACACGTCTCACCAGCTGCTTTCTTCCCTTTGATCCCTGGTACTTTGTGTGTCGCAGCAAACCTGAGCCTGCAGCGGTGGCAGCAGCAGCAGGTCCGTGTTTTTGGGGCCAGAAGCTTTAGCAGAGCAGCACCTGAGACCTGAGCTTAGTTTGGACCATCAGAGATTAAAAAAAAATATGTGAAGGGTCTGGAAAGTTGTGTTTGAGGTGTTCAGTTTAGCAGCAGCAAACTGGGACACTGGTTTTTTGTGACTGGTTCCAGGATGGTGAACAAGGAGGTGTGTTTGCTTCCTCGGCGTGCTTTGAAGAGCACACCTGGGGTAAAAAGTGCTTTGTAGGACTGGCTTTGATGTGAGAAATGCTGGTTTGGCAGCGTTGCAGGGGGGGCTGATGGCCCTTTTGAGCCCTGGATCGGGCAGGAGGAGGTAGTTGGGGGGGTAGGTTGTTCTTGAGCACTAGGCAGGAAGTGAATTTGGACGTGACCCAGAGCCTCTTCCAGGGTGAGGGGTCCCGGTCTGTGCTTGCTGAGGCTCTGGCCTGCAGATGGTGTTTTCTGGGAGGCTCTGAGCCAGGTGGCTTTTTTAAAAAAAGAAAAAACCACAACGTGTGGCTGAAGGGTTATGTGCAGTTGAGCAGATCCCCTCTGACTGCAGAGGAAGGAGAATTGCTTTTCCACTCATGCCTTGAAAGGCCAGCTCTTTAGTACCATATGGATTTCAACCTCCAGGAGTGCTCATGGCCAGCAAGAAAGCTCTTCTCTGCTGCCTGCTGTTCCTGTGGCTCCCTCTCACTGGGAAGCCCATTCTGCCTCCCCGCTGGCCCTCAGACCTGTCCCCGTGTGCCTTCCCACCCACCTCCATCCCTCCAGCTCCTCTAGCCCTACGGGAGGCCTGGGAGGTCTGGTTTAGTGATGATGCTCCTTGTTTGTTGTGTGGGTGTCTATTTTTGTCAGTATACGGGGGGCCTGGGAGGTATGGTTTAGTGATGATGCTCCTTGTTTGTTGTGTGGGTGTCTATTTTTGTCAGTTAGGTTGACGGTTGGACAAGATGATCTTTAAGGTCCCTTCCAACCTAGAAGATTCTGTGATTCTGTGACTCCTTCTGGGCCTCTTGATATCTCTTCATTTCTGCATTTCCTCTTTTTCCTCAGTTATGTAGCCCCTTCAACCTCTCCCTTCTCCCTCCCATCCAGTTGTGTCTCTGTCACCCAGTGCTGGCCTTTCTGGGGGTGTGCAGACCTCGGCACCCTTCCCCATCTACCTGGAACCCAAATAATCGTGGGTGTCTGCTCTGTACAGTCGTTTCAAGCCTGCGTGGAGGGTGCTGGGCCCGGGGCTGACTAGAAAGCAAGCCAAGATCTTGATCAAAGAGAACCTTACGATGAAAGGATGGTGTCTTCCCGAGCTCCCCTGTGTTGCTGTGGTCTCCACTGGCTCCTGTGCCCTCGCACCAGCCAGTCGAGCAGGAGAGATTAGTCCTTTGCCTCTTGTTTTTAATTGAAGGGTGATTTCTCAGAGGGACTGGCCGAGGGCGCGCTCGGATTCCCTGGCCCCAGGGCTGAAGCCAACCCGTCTTAACGCAGTAGCAATAATCTAGAGACTCTTAGGGCTGTCTCACACCTCGATGCAGTGTTTTAGTGATAAGCTATACCAGCCTTGCCAAAGCTGAGACTTGGAGTTGGCGGGGGAGGCCGGGAGCGGGGCTGCCTGCCACAATTCCCCCTCCTGGGACTCCTGCAAACATGTCGAGTGCCATTCCCCACTGTGAAAACCCTTCTTGTTTGCTCCTAAAATTTTCTACTGGGTCTGTGTTTCAAATAGAGACTTGTCTTGAGCAGCAAACGGGCCTCCTGGTCGGTTGGTGTGTTGGTTGCTGGGGAAGGAACGGCAAATCCCAAATCCTGCTTGAAGGGCACGGAGGATGGCTCTGGGCATCCGAAGGGAAGATGGATAATGGGAGAGCTGGGCTCGGAGCCTGGATACTGCAGAGCCAGCCCCACGTGTCTCCGTGCTGGCACAGTGAAGGATGGTGCCCGTGGAGGTGGGATGCTGGGAGAAGTGGGTGGACTGGTGGGATTTATGGAGTGCGGAGAAACCCCGGCGGCGCTCGGCGTGGGCTGCGGTTGGGTGGGGAGGGGGCTGCTTCCTCTCGGCGTGGGGAGGTGGGTAAGGAATGGCCTCTCCTTGCAGCTTCCTTCCATCTTGCTGCCCCCTCCGAGCAGCCACATTAAAGGTTCACCCCGTTCCTTCACCTTCCAGATGCCAGTTTTACGCTCGGCTCCTTTTTCCCCGTCGCACGTGCTTGTGCTGCAGCGTGCCCTGGCTGTGCCCTGGCTGTGCCCTGGCTGTGCCCTGGCTTTGCCGTGGCTCTCGGACGAGGGTGAGCCCTCCATCCCCTCCTCCTTTGTTCTCTGGGAGCTCTGTGGGGCGCTGGATTCCTTTGTAAATATTTCAACTGGGCTTCTGTGGTTTCATAATCCTGACGGTAGGGGAAATAAACTTCATTTCGGTGGATGTCTCCAAGTGCCACATCTCTTCTTGTCGAGACTCTTTCCTCCTCCTCGCCAGGAGCGGGGTTTGTGTTCCCCCCCTCCCTGCCCCACTGAGCTCCGGCCCCTCTCCTGCCCCAAGGCAGCCCCCAGGAGCCAGACCCCAAAGCTCCCAAGCCTTTTACTTTATGAACTTGCCCATCACCCTGTTTTCAGACCTGCTGTTGGGAAGGAAGGGGGTTTGGGGGGTGGGTACAGGAAGAAAAGAACCCAATTGCTGCAGCATGGGAAGGCTTTGCAGGTTTGCAGGCTTTAATGCTGGGTCTTGAAGCTGGGGAACCTTCCTGAGTGTCTTTGTTGTGTTTGGGAGGAGAAGGGGCTCTTTGCTGCTCCCCCTGCCTCTGCCTGGCCCTGGGCAGGGGTGGGGGGCAAGTGTCCTGGGGAGGAGGATGCTTTTTTAGGAGAGGGGGCCAAGTGTCCTGGGGAGGAGGATGCTTTTTTAGGAGATAAACCCCCTCTTGGAGGCTGATCCCGTCGAGCTGCTCCTTTTCCATACTCCTCAACCTCTGGCATCTTTATTTTCTTGGAGACTGGGGTCCTTTCCCCTGAGATCTTCCATTTCCCCACGAGCTGGTGGGGAAATGGTGAGGGGTCTGGAGAATAAGTCTTATGAGGAGAGGCTGAGGGAGCTGGGGGTGTTCAGCCTGGAGAAGAGGAGGCTGAGGGGAGACCTTATTGCTCTCTCCAACTCCCTGAAAGGAGGGTGTAGAGAGGTGGGGGTCGGTCTCTTTTCTCAAGTCACAGGCGACAGGACGAGAGGAAATGGCCTCAAGTTGCCCCAGGGGAGGTTCAGGCTGGATATTAGGAACAATTTTTTCCCTGAAAGGGTTCTCAGCCATTGGAATGGGCTGCCCAGGGAGGTGGTGGAGGCACCATCCCTGGAGGTGTTCAAAAGAGGGGTTGATGTAGTGCTGGGAGGTCTGGTTTAGTGATGATGCTCCTTGTTTGTTGTGTGGGTGTCTATTTTTGTCAGTTAGGTGACGGTTGGACAAGATGATCTTGAAGGTCCCTTCCAACCTGGAAAATTCTGTGATTCTGTGATTCTGTGAGCTGGTGGGGAGGGAAGGGGGCTGCTGGGAGCGATGGAGGAGCAGGGAGCAGAGTGGGATGCAAAGAGCCGGCCTCATTTTTTTTTTTCCCCTTTCCCAGCAGGATACCACTGCCTGAACTGGGAGCGAGGGAAGCTGGGCCTCTGAGTGCTCTAACGATTGCTAATGCAGCAGCTGATTTTTATTTTTTTTTTATTTTTTTTTTTTTTTCCCCGTTACCATCTGATATCCAGAGGCCAAAGCCGCGCGGTGGGGGGAGCAGATCAGCCTTAAAATGAGGTTGTGTGTACGAGGCTGGGGGATTGAACGCCGCAGCCATCTTACAAAAACACCACCTGGATCCTCTCCTGCTCAGCTCCTCCATCCAAAAACCCCGCTGTGGCTGCGCTCACTCCAGCCCCTGCTTCGGGGCTGCGAAATGGCAGCCAGGGAGGACACACACACACACACACGACAGGCAGCCTCTGGGGGGTTTATCCCCCACATTTCTGTCGCTGGAGCATGAGGTGAGGATTCAAAACCCCCCCAGGAGGGTGCTCTGCCCGGTGTGTGTGGTTCCATCCTGCTTTCACCATCCCACTGGCTCCTTGCTCGCCCTCCCAAGTGTGGCAGGATTTTTTTTCTGACCCCCCCATCCTGTTTTGCTGGGAGAATTCCTTTTCTTGGGAATCTCGCTGGAGGTGTGCTGGAGATTGAGCTGCACGGTTCCAGTCATGGTTTTTTTGGGGGATTACAGGGAAGCAGCCAGGCTGGATGTGCCAAGATTGTCACACTCGGGGTGCTCACAGCTCTGTGGCCACGGCAGGACCCTGCAATCCCTGCTCCTCTTGGTTTTCCCTCTTTCCTCTCATCCCGGGAGGGATCCAGGCTGCTGGAAACCAGGGAGGCTGCAAAAGGGGGTGGCAGGATCCATCCCAACCTGAACCCCATCATTGGAGGGACCTCGTTGCTCCTCTGCCCTCGCCCTGGGTGGCTGGGTGTGACCCCTCCACCCCAGCAGCTGTGCTGGGGGGGGCTTTTTAAATACGGGGGGAGCAGGGCTGGGGGTCCCCGACCTCCCCGTGGGGACAGGGGGAGGTGCCACCGCCGTGGGGCTGGTGTGGGGCCGCCTTTGAAGTGGGGTCACTTTGCTGCAGCTGGTTGGAGGGGGCCCCCCCTTTCTCATCCCCTTAATGGGGGCCGAGGGGGGGGCATCAAAGGGCTCCCCGGGGAGCAATATCATATTGCACTTAAGTGTTTGCAGGGTGGAAGCTTTTGAAGCCTGTGGCTGTGATGCCTCCGAGGCTGCAGCTCCTTCCTCATCCTCATCATCCTCCTCCTTTCCCGGGGAGGGGAAGGGGGTGCAAGACCCAACACTGGGGGTTCTCCATACCCACGTCCTCCCCGATGGACCTGGGGTGTCCCCCCCCCCCAGCCAGAGTGGGAACGCCACGAGGTGCCTGCAGGGTTTAAAAATTAAAAATTAAGAGGAATTAAAAATTAATGCTTGCTTGCAGCCCCCCCGGGCCTGCGGGAGGTGGGGGCCATCCCAGGGGGAGCTGGGGTCTGCCCCCAGGGAGAGCTCCAGCAGCACATCAAAGGCACCAGGAGGGCAGAGGGGTCGGGGGAGTCGAGCCCCCCACCCTGGGAGGGGGACAGGGCCAGATGTCCCCGTTGCTGGGGGTGGGGGTGGACGTGGAGGTGTAAAAGCAATGGCAGAAAGGGAAGGGGGGGGATTTTGGGGCTGGGGGGGG